CTGCCTCTTCTGGAGTGCTGGGATTAAAGGTGTGTTCCCACAACACCCCGTTCTTCCTTTTTTGTGCAACCGTGTTCACCCTTGCAGATTTAGCTATCACATTCTTTTAACTCATGTTCATATATAGCCTTCCTCTCCCTATCCCGTATGTTAACAAGGCCCCCTTTTCAAGTTTATCTGTCTCCTGATCAGTTAATTTTACTTGACATTCAGGCATACATCAACTGATCTGTCACTCTCAAATGCTTATCTTACTGTCTGTTCGGTTGAGACAGCATAATTAACCTAATGATCCCGTTTCTGCAGCCCCATAGCCCATCTTGAGAGCCAAGACAGGTGTCCCACGAAACTAGCCTATTTATGTCACTTGCCACAAAACATCAACTAAGAAACATGGTTTAGACTTTGAATGTCTGTGACTAGCTCACATCCACCATTGAGGGTGGAGCAAATCACCAACACAATACAATTATTAGTGCCGAGAAGCAAAGTGGGCGGCTTTGTACTGACTGACTTGCTCCAGTATTAAGAATCCAGAGAAAAGGCAGAATGAAATTGCCTCTACCATGAGAGTGCTCCTTACCTTCAGGCTGATCCACTAGAAGTAGTGGGTGAGAAGAATAGCTTTCCGGCCAGGCATGGTGCCTCAGCTGTAATCCCAGCACTCAGGAGTCCCACAAGAGGATTGCTGTGGATCCTAGATCAGCAAGGGCTACACAGCAAGATCCTGACTCAACCACTACCACCTTGAAGTCATTTTCAGGCTGAGGAGATAGCTCAGGTAGAGCACTTGCTGAACAACCTAACAAACTGGACCGCTATCCCTGTGTGTGCTACATGGTAGAAAAGATGAGGTGGAGAGCGGAGAATCACGGGAAGCTGGTAGGCCAGCTAGCCTGACTTTCACAATCGTGAACAAAAGAAACTCTGTCTCTAACCAGGTGAAAGGCTGTGCCCTGAGGCCATCTCTGATAGCAGTGCACACCAGGAGCTTTGGCTGCCTACTTATCTAGACCAGTCAGCAAAGAGAAGCCTCTAACGACTTAGTGGACTGAGTGGACTTAGTGTAACACTCGGGAGCAAACTGCTCCAAGCCAGCTACTCAGCAGCAGTATCTCAAACGAGATCTATTCATGTGAATAAGCTCTACTAATGTATACCACTAGAGAAATTAAAAATTTTAAAACATGTTTACATTATTTACAATAATAATGAGCTTGTTACGCGGTAATTTAACATCTTGTGAAAAATAACTTTTCCAAATTAAAAAGAAGAGTGAGTTGTGACTTGAGAGTTGTGCATGCCCTACTTGCTGCCTGGCAGCTATGTTCTGAAGTCAGCTGCATTCCTTCCGTCCCAGTGCGGCTATACCGTGCAGCTGTGTATTTTCATTGTTCACTTATTGGGGGGAGAGAACTCTTACAAAGTCAGGAGCTATTATGAAGGCAGTTTTGGCTTTACAGACCTTCTGAAGGGTGCAAATTCTAGGTAGGTAAGACGGCTCATCGGATAAAGGCACGTGCCTCCCTCCAACTGTCTGCATTTGATCTCTGGGACCCACGTGGTCAGAGGAGAAAACCTCCACACTAATAAAATAGTCACTTTTTAAAGGTTTTGTTTTGCTAATTAAGACAGGCTCTTTCTATGTAGCCCTGGCTAGCCTCAAACTCAGATCTACCTGCGTCTGCCTACGAGCACTGGTATTAGAGGCGTGTACCACCAGAGCTGGCTGAAAAAAAAAGTGTGCATGTAAGTGTACATGTGTATGATGGTGCCCATGGAAACCAAAAGAGTTTGTCAGATCCTGGAGCTGGACTCCTGGGTGTCGGTAAGCCACTCAGGATGGTGCTAGGAAACGAACTCGGGTCGCCTGGAAGAGCGTGCAGCAAGTGCTCTCAGCCACTGCTCTGTCCTCCATGGTTTTGATTCCGGGTCTCACTGACTGGAAATTGACCAGGCTGCTGGCCAGAAAGCCCTTGTCTCTCCAGTGCTGGAGCTGCCAGTGTGCCCCAAGCCTGGCCTTTGTTTCCCTCTAATGGAGGTCAGAGGAGCTTCACACCTGCAAACACCACTGAATGCACTATCTCCAGCCACAGATTTGACTCTGTCTCTGTCTCTTTTCTTCTCAAAGACAGGGTCTCGGGATGTAGCCCTGGCTGGCCTGGACCTTGTTATGTAGAACAGGCTGGCCCCAGTGTTTCCCTGAACTCTGAACTAATGAGGGCAAGAGATGAACTGTGTTAGCTTTGGGATGCTGAGTGCATTCTAGAGTCAGGTAACAGTAAGAAGAATCTCGGTCTACCTGTGGATAAGGCCCTGCTGAGTGAGAGTGGGCACCCAGACCGAAAGAATCTGTTCATCGTGGAAATGACAGCAGCTATGCCTGAGCACAGTAGTCTCACGCAAACTCACACTGCCCTCGCTCCTACTGTATAGCTGAGGATGAACTTGAACCCCTGGTTCTCCCCCTTCCCGTGTGCTAGGATTAAGGCAGTACTGAGAATTAAGCCCAGGGGTTTTTACTTCCTAGGCACATTATTTACCAACTGAACTAAACTGAACTATATTCTGAGTTCGTTACAGGCTACTGTTAATGAACATTTACCATCAGGTACCAGACCACTTACAGATCTTGTCATCTCATCTTTACCTCTGTGACGTGACGGCCAGACTTGTCAACCTCAGTTCATCCCCAGAACCTACACTGTAGATGACATTCCTGTTCCCACAATTCCTCTTCTAACTTTCATTCATATGCCGTAGTACAGGTGTATATCCTCCCGACACACACACACACAGACACACACACACACACACTCTAACATGTATACCAAATAAATGTAAAAATGGTTTTGTTTTGTTTTTTTTAATAAAAACTGATCTGTTTGTGAGGGTAAAGGCCTTTAACCCCAGCACTCAGGAGGCAGAGGCGTTCTTTTTGTTTTGTTTTGTTTTTTTGTTGTTGTTTATTTGTTTGAGATAGCCTTGGTTGTCCAGGACTCTTTGTAGACCAGGCTGGCCTCAAACTCACAGAGCTCCCACCTGCCTCTGCCTCCCTGAGTGCTGGGATCACAGGTGTGCGCCACTGTGCCTGGCTGGCTCTCTGTGCTTTCGAGGCCACCCTGGTCTGCATAGATTCAGGCCAGTGGGGGACACAGAGGAAGACTTTGCCTTAAAAACAACAACCACAAAACCTTTGCTGGGATGGAGAGATGGCTGGGTGCTAGAGTGCTTATTGCTCTTCCAGGGAAGCTGATTAGGTTCCTGGCATCTGTGCTGGGCAACTAACCACCTCTTGTAACTCCAGTTCCAGGGGCATCTGACACATCTGGCTTCCATGGACAGAAATATTTTTAAATAAGTAAATAATAAGCATTACTAGATGCCCTCCCACTCTGAGCTTTTGACTTCCTTTACGGCCTCTCAGTTGCCAGTGTGTAACTCCAGCTCTGAGCTTTATTCAGCTTTCAGTGCCTCTGGCCTGAGGAAGGGACGTGGGCAAGGGGCGAAGGGGGACCCACAAAGGCTGTCTTCTGCTTTTGGATCTTTGTACAATAATGTTGCTAAGAGCATATGATAGGGAACTTTTTGGTCTCAACAACAACAAAATGACTGTGTTGATTACCCTTTTGAGTGTTACTTAACACCAGATCCAAATTGAGATCCAGTAGAGCCGGAACAGGTTTCTCTAGACCAGTTACTCTGATCGCCGAGTACCGTGGTTAGAGTGTCTGTTGCTGTGATAAGACACTATAACCAACAGCAACCTGGGGAGAAAAGGAGTTATTTCAGCTTCCGCCTCCACGTCACAGTCCAGCGCTGAGGAGTCAAGGCAGGGACTCAGGCAGGGGCCCAGAGGTGGGAACCGATGCAGACGCCATGGAGGAGCGCTGCTTACTGGTCACAGAACTTCAGTAAGAAAAAATGTTTGATATCTGTGTTTATAAGGACTGTGAGCTGAGCTGGAGGTAAAATACTAGCAGATAGTAATGTAGCGGCACCAGTATGGAGATGGGCATGTCCAGCGAGAAAGCAGTCTATAGCTGTAGTTGAGGCCATGCTCTGAAAAGTGTTTGCCCGAAGTTTTCATAGAAAATATAGGTGTTTCTTTATAGAAGAAAACAATACCATTTCTCGTTCTCCATCCTCAGAGATAATGCTGGCTGGGAACTTAGTTCTGAGCCGTGGAGACGGTGGTGGGGAAAGGTCTTGTCTTGAGGGCCTTCTCTGACTCCCCGGAGTCCGCAGGGAGCTGGACAGGGCAAGCGTTGCTGCCCTCCCAGTGTCCCTGCAGTGAGGCGGAGCAGCTCGCAGCTGTGTCTCAAAGAAGCTAGGAGGAAGAACCAACACCTGTACGGGACCACGCGCATGTGCCACCACACCTGGCCTGGTCTTCTGGTGTGAGGGGAATTGCTAACACTTGGCTTGTGACAGTATTTCACGAACACTGTCTTTATTACTTGTGTCTAGGAAACAGGGTCTGGCCACCCCTCTAGTGCCGGGATTAAAGGCACCACCTAGTATAGTACACCACCACACCAGGCAATCCAACTGTTTTGTTTTGTTTTGCTTTTTTGTTATTTTTTAAGACAGTGTTTGTAGCCATGGCTGGCCTGGAACTCACAGAGATACATCAGCCTCTGCCTGTGCTGAAATTAAAGGCCTCACCAAGCCCAATCCACGGTTTTGTTTTTTTGAGATAGGGTTTCTCTGTGTAGCCCTGGCTTTCCTGGAATTCCCTCTATACTTCAGGCTGGCCTTGAACTCACAGAGACTCTCCTGCCTCTGCCTCCTGAGTGCACCATCACTGCCCAGCCCAATCTACCCTTTAAATATAGGTCTTTTCAAGTAAGTCAGTGGCAGAATATGAAACCAAATAACAGATTTCTGGATCCTAGTCTTGTGTTTCTGCTTTTTCTCACATGGATCTACCAGTGAGGACTCTGATCGCGCTTAGCAAACCGTATTTAGAACTGGACCTTGGATTTCCTCTGTTACAGATTTATTGCCAAGCCCTGCGCACTCCATGTTGGCATTGAAGATAGTGTCCTCTATCAGCTGGAATCCAATGACACCCTTGAGAAGGTGTTCTTGTCTATTACTAAGGTAAGTACTCGGAGAGCAAGGGGCGGAAAGTCACATGAAGGCTTCTCCACATTGGGGAAATAGCGAATGTAGGAATGGTCAGGGCGGGAAGAGGTGACTTCACGCTGGGTGGTCAGCTCTGTACCTGTGTAGAGAACTTGGCCTCACAGGGCCTCACAGGATACTTTTCTGACAGAACCCCTGTGCTTACACACCTTTAGGCTTGCTCCTTAGCATCTACCCCCGTCCCCTTCCGCAAACACACATCATGTTTTGTTTTCACTTTTTCTTGTCCAGCTTCTCATCAAGGTGAGAGTGGTTCTAGTGAACTTTGTACTTGGGTTTTGTTTGAACATATGAGTGTTTAGCCTGCATGTGTGTAGTGTGCCCCACATGTGTGCCTGCATATGTGTAATGTGTCCCACATGTGTGCCTGGTCCTGGTGGAGGAGAGAAGACATCAAATCTCCTGGAACCCAAGTTACAGACAGATATGAGCTGCTATGTGGGTGCTGGGACTTGAACTGTGCGTGATCCTTTGCAAGAGCACTTCTTAACCACTGAGCCATCTCTCCAGCCTCAGTTTTTTGTTTGTGTTTTCTTAAATGTGTGTGTGTGTGTGTGTGTGTGTGTGTGTGTGTGTGTGTGTGTGAAACTAAGACGACAACTTCTGGGAATTAGTACTGTGTGGGTCCAGGGATCAAACTCAAGTCCTGAGGCTTGGCAGCAAGTGCTTCTACCTGTTGAGCGATCTCACAGGCCCTGCAGTTAGTTTGCTTTTAATTGCTTTCTGCATTTTATATGTATGTGATTTTGCCTGCGTGTATATAAAGCACACTTCATGTTACATGTGCCTTCAGAGGACATCATCAGATCCCTGGGACTGGAATTAGGGATTGTTCTGAGAACTGAACTGTGATCCTCTTGAGCAGTCTGTTCTTAACTGAGCCATCTCTCCGGCCCCCAGTTTGTTTTTTGAATGCCCTTTTTAAATTCAGCTTGAGCTGGAGAGAGAGAAGGCTAAAGAAGAATGCGTGAGATAGGGATTATTTATTACTAAAAAGTTATTTTGAGTTGAAATTGGGGGGAAAATCATTGCAGTTTTATCAGGTGTGAGGGGTGAAAATGTAATTGGTAGGGAAAGTGTGAAGTATAAAGTGAAGATCAATTGCTCTAGAGCTGCTATTCTAACTGTGTAGAAGTTCCCCAAGCTGTATAGAGCTGACACTGGGCAAGTGTTTTACTTCCTCAAACCCGCTGAGTGACGTTTGTATTTCTAAGTTAATTTGTATGGATTTGTTAATTAATAAAGTGGATTTAATTAAAAACTGGTTTGGGGATAAAACCTGGAAATGGTAAGTGCACGTGAGCCACTGTGGTCATCACCTTTTGCCACTCCGCTAGTAAGAGGGCCTTCACAGGAGTGTGGACAGGGAGAGTTCTAACTCTGGCCTTTCACCCCAGTACCCTGACGAGAAGAGGCTGGAAGGCCTGTCCAAGCAGCTGGACTGGGATGTCCGAAGAATCCAGTGCTGGTTTCGCCATCGCAGGAGCCAGGGCAAGCCCCCAACGCTCACCAAGTTCTGTGAGAGCATGTATGTGTGCACAGGGGGGTGGAGAGTGGGAAGGGTGGGAGACAGTTGCACTTTTTTGTGTGTGAGGGGGAATTAGTTTGCATCAGGGTAGTAAGACAGTCATTTGACTGGAATGTTCAAGAGAAGATTTCAAAGGGCAAGGAGCAGTGGAAATCAAGCTCATGTCCTGGTGCTTCTCAATCAGGTCTTTTAAGTGAGTGAATAGCAGAACCCTTGTAGAAGTTGGCCAGGACAGAATTGGGAAACCGGTCACATTTGTTCCCCTAGTCATCCTTGCCACTATGGCAAGATGATTCCATTCTGTTGCTTCTTTTCAGATAGCTTGAGCCAGGTGTGGTGACACACGCCTTCAATCCACAGCACCCGGAGACATGTGGATTTCCAGTTTCAGGCCAGCCAAAGTCAGAGTGACACGCTGTCTGCCTACCTATTTTTTTGTTTTAAAGTGGCCTGGAGGGCTGGGGAGATGGCTCAGTGGTTAAGGGCACTGTCTGCTCTTTCAGAGGACCCAGGTTCAATTCCCAGCAGCCACACAGTGGCTCACATCCATTTATACAGGGATTTGGTGCCCTCTCCTGGTGTGCAGGTGTACATACAGATAGAGCACACATATATGTAAAATAAATAAATATTAAAAAAAAAAAAAAAAGTGGCCTGGAGAGGTAGTTCAATAGTTTAATGTACTCAGTACTCTTCCAGAGAATCCAAGCTTATTTCCCAGCAGCCACATCAGGACATTCAGAACCCTCAGTAACTCCAAATCCACATCTGAAATGTTTGGCCTCCTTGGGCACCTGTCCTCAGGTACACACACACACATTAAAAATTAATGATATAGCCAGGTGTGGTATCACATGCCTTTAGAGGTGGGTAGACAAAGAGAGTTCAAGGACAGCCAAGGCTACACCAAGGAACCCTGTTTTTGCTTTTGTTTGTAAACTGGGAGTGAATTCCAGTAACTGCATTTATATAGGTAGGTATGTATACCCCCGCCCATCCTGACAGACTAGTCCCAGCCTGCTCTATATCTGCATTTTTATAGGAAGTTTCACTCTTCTGAGAAATATCATACTTGAAATCACAGAGGGGTTTGTTTGTTTTTTAAAACAGGGTTTCTCTCTGTGTAACCCTGGCTGTCCTGGAACACACTATGTAGACCAGGCTGGTCTCAAACTCAGAGATCTGCCTGCCTCTGCCTCCCAAGTGCTGGGATTAAAGGCATGTACCACCATTGTCATGCAATCCAGAGTTTTTGATTCTCTAGAAATGGCTATTAGTCATTGTCATGCAGTTTTTTTTGTTGTTGTTTTGTTTTGTCATACAGTTTTAAAATTGAGTACTATGAAGGAGTCTGATAGGAAAGGAAACAAGCCAGTGTATTTCTTGGGAATCTACTGTAAACAAAGGCTCAAAGCTGACACTGGCTTTTTAGAGATCAGTTTTGTCTTACTACGCTGCTTTGATTTCCCTAGCCTGATTTTTTTTGGGGGGGTGGGGCTAAGGGGTGGGGAAAGTGGCCATTTATCTAACCTTGACTCTCTGCTCACGCAGGTGGAGATTCACTTTTTATTTATGTGTGTTCTGCTATGGAATTAGATTTCTCTGGTTGGTGAGTCTATAAATTTTTTTCTGTGCTCTCGTTGTGTGTGTGTGTGTGTGTGTGTGTGTGTGTGTGTGTGTGTGTGTTTAAAGATTTATTTATTATCTACACAGCATTCTGCCTACACATCAGAAGAGGGCACCAGATCTCACTATATATGGTTATGAGCCGCCTTGTGGTAGCTGGGAAATGAACTCAGGACCTTTGGAAGAACAGCCTGTGTTCTTAACCTCTGAGCCACTTTTCCAGCCCTTGTTTTGTTTTGTTTTGATTTTTAAGAATATTTACTTAATTGTGTACAATGTTCTGTCTGCTTGTACACCTGCATGCCAGAAGAGGGCACCAGATCTCATTGTAGATGGTTGTGAGCTACCATATGGTTGCTGGAAATTGAACTCAGGACCTCTGGAAGAACAGCCAGTGCTTTTAACCTCTAAGCCAGCTCTCCAGCTCTCATCGGGTTTTAATCCTGTTTAGATGCCGCAATTTCTAGAAGTGAACATTAAATACCTCCAGCTCCTCTGTATGCTTGTATTTGAAAAGAAGGGACATTTAAAGTCTGTAAGCTTTCCACTTTAGGATGCAGAAAAGGGGCTGATCTCATGGGCCCACTCCTACACAGAGACTGCAGGCCACTGATGCCTGCTGAGACAGGGAGAATCATTCTTCTTCAGGCATGAGCCCCCTAATTGGTTACCCAGTACCCAGCAGTCAGTCTGAAGTCATAGACATACAAGCAGCACTAAATGGACTCCTGTATTATATATTTACACATTATTACGTACACACAATAATAATTAAAGAGAAAGAGGCCATGAATTGAGAAGACACCAGGCAGGTTTCCAAACAGGATCTGTCTACATAGTCCTGTCCTGGAATTCACTACATAGATGAGGCTGGCCTCAAACTCCGAGATCCTCCTGCTTCTGCCTCCTGAGTGCTGGGATCAAAGGTGCGCCACCATGCATGGCTGCATATTTAATTTTTAAAAATGGTAAAAACAAACAAAATTTAAAAAGGAACAACGAAGAAAAGAGGGCTGGAAAATATATTAAAAAGATAGAAAGAGGTGTAGAAAGAAGGAAGGAAGGCAAAGGCGCCAGAGAGATGCTTCATGCTTAAGAGTGATTGCTTTTCCAGAGGAGCCAAGTTTGGTTCCCAGCACCTGTGATTTGTGGCTCACAAATGTTTGTGATTCCAGCTTAAAGGGATCCAACACCCACTTCTAGCCTCTCTGGGTGCCCACACCTGTATGGCAGACATACAGGTACATATACAAACAAAAAATCTTAAGGATATAAGATGTAAAAAAGAACAAGGTAGATCTAAAGTAGATTAAAGAAAAGAAATAATCAACATAGAGACTATAAGTATAGCTCACTCAGTGAGATCCTGGATATGATCACAGGACTGTGAGTTGAAGAAGGGGCAAAATTAATGATGAAATAGTCCTTAGACAAGTGTCAGTTCTCGAAAAAGTTCCGTCATAACTGATAACTCCGTACCAGGCGCAGCAGCGCCTGCCTGTGATACAGTCCTCACAGCTGCTGCACGAGTTCAAGGCCCTCCTGGGCTGTACAAGGAGAACCTGTCTCAAAAAAAAAAAAAAAAAAAAGATGAACTACAGATGAGGGAAATGTGTATCACCAATATAAAGAGGGTATCACTATAGATCCTTTACATACTATTGAAGCTGGGCATGGTGGCACACACCTTTAATCCCACTCAGAGAGGCAGAGGCAGGGGCATCTGTGATTTCAAGACCAGCCTGGTCTATAGAGTGAGTCCAGGACAGCCAAGGCTACATAGAGAAACCCTGTCTTGGGGAGAGAGGGAGATTGATTTTTGGGACTGGGAAGGTAACTGAGTTGGTGAAAAGCTTCCCATCAGAGCACTGAGACCTGAATTGGGGTCCCCAGTGCCTCTGTGGCACAGGCTAGCCTAGAACTCAGTCATCCCCCTGCTTCTGCATGTACCACCAGACCCAGGTAGTCTTAACACGAGCCCTCATTATGTTGTCCCACCTAGTCCAGAACTCACTGTGTAGCCCAGACTAAGCTCCAAATCCAATACTTGAGAGGCTTTCTGTGAGTTCAAGGCTAGCCTGAGCTTTCTTGTCCTTTCTTCTGTTTGCTCTTGTTTGTTTGTTTGCTTTTTGAGGCAGACTCTTGCTAGGTAGCTCTGGCTAGCCATTAACCTGCTTTGTGGCTCAAACTGGCCTCGAACTTGAAATTGCTGCCTAGGCTTCCCACATGCTAGGATTGCTGGTCCACCACAACACCTAGCTTCCCTCTTTCTTGTACCCCTGACTTGGGAGAAAAGGAATATGCAGGGTAGATCTTGTAGCTGTGTTGGGGACTAAAGGCCAACCTGTATTATCTGTTGTTTTTTTGTTTTTATTTTCTTTCTTAGTCGCCTTGGTTCTGGGACACCCGACAGTGCTGGCAGAACTATCCATATCAGGTAGGACTTGAGCCGTTTCAAGACAGACCCTGTATTTGTGTGAGGTGAGGTGGGTGACAGTGCATTGTCAGTCTAGTACAGCTAGCACAGGCACAGTTCTCTGACATGGTGAGTGAGTCCTTTTGAGAGCCAAGGCATCTCTATCCGGCACTGATAGCAGAAATACTGTGAGCTTTTATCCAGTGAGCCTCTGCATGCCCCTGCAGTAGTGGAAAGAAAAGCAATTCTCTGCTATTAATAAGGTCCTTAACTCAGATTCCATCTGAGTCTATGCTATACTGTAAAACTATCAGGGAAGTGAAAAGTGGAAGGAGGAGGCCGAAGCCCACTTTGTCCAGATGCACCAAGTGGGTTGTGGTATGGGAAGACGAGAGCCGAGATGAGTTTACAGAAGCGCAGAGGGAAAGGGCTGGCGTCTCAGAAGGCCCAGGCTTGGCTACTGGGGCTCTTGGGAAGCAGTGAAGAAGAAGGGAAGAAGGGACTAAGCCGTGTGGTTGCTGCAGAGCTGGAACGCCCTGACTAGCTGCTGTCCTGACTGTTCTTTTCTTTTCCAGCCACTCTCCAGAGAGCTTTACCACTATTATATCATGGAGCTGGCTTTCTACTGGTCACTCATGTTCTCTCAGTTTACAGATGTTAAAAGAAAGGTAAGGACGTCAGCCTCTGGGCTGCTTTCTAACAGCTCTGTCATCATGATACATTCCCTCATATGAGAGAAGGTGGGTGTGGCAAGCTGTCAGTATCTTTCCACGGTGTTTCCAGAGATGAGACGTAAGGAGTGGTGGAGTGTGTTTACGGTGGTCAGGCCAGTAGTAGGGAGAGCAGCAGTGAGGCTGCAGATAAGCGTGGCCTTTCCTTCTTTGCACTCCTGTTCTTTTATACCAGAGCTCAGGGAATTAGGTAGAACCTGGAGTACCAACGCCTGATTCGGAAAAGGACTTGATTTTAAAAAAATTAAGATTCAGAAAAGTGAGTTGACTTACCCACAGTGATAGTTCGATATAACTTGTATTTTGTAAAGCCAGACAGGAAGAGAATCTTTGTTTACCTGTCTTACCCATTCTTTTCCACTGGCCAGAGAAGTACGGTTTAAGAATTCCAGCTATTGTCATTTCACTGTGACCATAACACTTGACAAACAATTTAAAGGTGAAAGCTTTGTTTTGGCAGAGTTTTCCTCCACCATGGCAGTGAAGTAGTTAGTTCCTGGCAACAGGAGTCTTGGAAGCGAACTACATCACTGAACAGTAAACAGAGAAAGTGTCCTAGGAACCATCGGGCCGGTTTGGCCTTCAGATGCCAGCCCTGCTTACCTACCAGTTGGGGCTGCGACTCCTAATGCTTCCACAGCCTCCCAAGATAGTGCCAGTGCCTGGGCAAAGGCATCTAGAGCATGAGCCTGTGGATAAAGACAGACTTAAACCTGAAAGCCAAGAGTATTTGCATTATGATAACTTCTTGCTAGGTGGAAGGAAGGAAGGAAGGAAGGAAGGAAGGAAGGAAGGAAGGAAGGA